TCGACCTCTAGCGAGCTACATGGTCCACTTTACGTTACACCGCTATTTCAATGTACAAGCGTTCTCGCGCAATGGTAATATAAGACACATTAGTTATAAACACCCGAAGAGGTTGATACCCAAAATCTCATATATCGTGTCTTGCCTCAGTAACGCATATACCCTGCATTAAAGTCTCCATCTACCTGGACGTCAAAATTAGCACGGTTGTTAGGCGTTTTCCTTGAGGTTGGTAGCTTACAACATGTCCACTGAGCGATCTATACTCTCTTAGCGGCACACAGACATGGTATGCTTCGTCAGGCAAACAGTCGGACTAAGCGCCAAGCGCTAGTGTACCGGTTCGGATCGGATCTATTCCCGCGTAAACACATGAGCAGCATCAATTGACGACTGAAGCTTGAACTTGACTTCGGTTTCGTTATTTTGCCTGTAAATATAGCTCGATCCCTCAGGCTACATATCGAAACTGCACCTGAACAGATCAAACTCACAATGCTCTTTATCTTGGCTCGGTCGACCACGCTGCCCCAGCTCGCCGCTTCCTCGCGCCGAACTTTCGCATCAGCATGCTCTTTGTCTAAGGAATACCAAAACCTCTTGGTTTCTCGACCACATCCAAATGTCGCCCTTATAACTCTCAACCGTCCCAAAGCATTGAACGCGCTCAGCAGCCCGCTTTTTGAAGAATTCAACCAAGTGCTCGAAAGCGTAGAAAAGGATGATGAGGTTGGTGCATTGGTAGTAACTGGGAGTGAGAAGGCATTTGCAGGTACTTTGTTCTCCTTATCGCATTTAGTCACCTCTTTACCGTTCCGCCTTTTCCAGCTGGCGCCGACATAAAAGAAATGAAAGATAAGGAATGCAAGTTGAGCATCGCGGAACTTTGAGCATATCATTGACCGAGCTTTGGCCCTCTAGTTACGGATGTGTATAAGAACAACTTCCTCAGCGACTGGACGAAAATTACAAGTTTCCGCAAACCGGTGATTGCGGCCGTGAGCGGATTTGCTGTGCGTAGCATCCTTTGCATACAACACAATATAGTCCGCTTATGCCGACGTAGCTTGGAGGTGGGTGCGAGCTCGCCATGATGTGCGATATTATCCTTGCGTCCCCCACCGCGCGGTTTGGCCAACCTGAAATTAAACTGGGAGTCATCCCTGGCGCAGGTGGTAGCCAACGCATGACACACGCTATCGGCAAATCACGCACGATGGAGCTCGTGCTTACAGGGCGTATGATCAACGCGCAGGAAGCTGAGAAATGGGGCCTCGTGTCGAGGGTTGTTGAAGGTGACGTTGTTAAAGAGGCTGTCGAGATGGCTAGCACCATCGCAGGCATGAGTCGGGTAGCCGTGCAGGCTGGGAAGGAAAGCGTCAACGCAGGTGCGTATTGAGGATTGATTAATTCAGAGTCAGCTAATGTCACTGCAATTCGAAGCCTACGAGCTGTCGTTGAAGGACGGTCTGCACTTCGAGCGCAGGCTCTTCCAAAGCTTATTTGCGACCCGTGATCAAAAAGAGGGTGCGTCACAGTTCCTTCGCCGTGCAAGGAGAGAAACCTTTGGCATTCGCGATGCCTATAGTGGTGGCATTATTGGACTCCTCAATCCTTTCTCTTGGGCTGTTATGTCTATGATCATATGGCCATTTTCTCGTCACCGAGACCCGCGTAAACCCCACCATGAGCCATGATCCGCCCACTTGTCTTCGCTCCGTTTGGTGGTTCAGTATTGATTTAATCTGATCTACACAGGAATGTCTGCGTTTGCTGAAAAGCGCGATCCCAAGTGGACCCACTCATGAGGTGGAAAGAGCATACATACGATTGGGTGGCTGATGTGTATTGTAATGAATTGTTAGTTCACCTCGCGGTCACGTGAAATAGTTAGAGCGCGTCTTGTTATTAGCGACCAATTGCAAACACCACCTTGACCATCACCGTTGCTGCCAGATCCCTCCCCCGACGCACGCTTCTGGTTTTCCTCGGTGGCTCGCTGTCTTTTCACACTCTGTACAACAAAACATTGAACATTCCACAACACATCCTAAAGCGAGCGAGCTATGGCAACCCGTCTTGGCAAACGATCGCGGCCGCAACATGCTGGCCAATCCTCCTCACCTATCCACCCTACCAAAGATATCGCTGGTGCTCCGAACTCTGTGATAGTGTCACCCCCTTCTAAGCGACTACGCACTTCTATTGGCTCTCTAGTGAACGGCAAAGAGAACATCCCCTTGTCAGTTCGCAGGGTTGGTGTCCACGACCGCGAATCCAGGACACTCGCCCGGGCGATTGTTCGAGAAGAAGCCGAGCGCGGTGAAGAAGCAGGGGACGACGACGAATCGAGTGAAGAAGGTGGCAATGATGCTCCTTCACAACCTGGTGGGTTGTCCTGTTCTCGTTCGCTTGATGCCTGTTGTTCAAGTTTTATACCTCCAGTCAAATCTAAACCCAAGTCTATTCGAATGCCTTCGCCTATTAGAACGCCCTCTAAAGCGTTCCTCAAGTCGAGAGGGTCTCCTACGAAAAAATCTGCACAAGCTACCCCTCGCCTGCCTTCTCTTGTATCAAAGCTGCAGCTCACACCTCCTGCGACGCCGCCTACAACAACCTTGTCTCTTCATGCTAGAGCTCGCGCACTTCTTCGACCTGGCCCTAGTGAAGTAATCGGGCGAGAGAAAGAGCGGGCCATCCTGACCGACTTTTTATCGTCATTTGTGGCTGGGGGCTCTGTTGGCCAGTCCGATGGTCAAGCTCTTCACTGCGCTGCATACATTTCTGGTGCTCCTGGGACAGGCAAAACAGCACTGGTTAGCGAGGTCTTGCGCACAATCACTGTGGATGGTTTGCGTGGGGTCTACGTCAACTGTACTGGTCTGAAAGAAGAAAACTCGGTCTGGGCTCGGGTTTTGGAGGAGGGTAATTTCGGCGCTCCCAAAGGAAAGGCTAGCGCGGGCTCGGAGAAGAAGCGGTTTGAAACCGCCTTGAAGACGAAGGGTGTCAAATGGTAAGTTTATTCAACATTATTGTCCCAGCAGATCCTTACGCCTCGATAGCATTGTTGTTCTCGACGAACTCGACTTTATTCTGCAGTCCCCCTCTGCACTCTCCTCCATCTTTGCAGTAGCAACTGCTGCGCCTTCAGCTTTACGTATCATCGGCATTTCCAACACTCTCACACTTGGGGCGTCCGGATCTCAACCAACAAAACTAAACACAAACGACTTTCTTACACTGGACGTCCCAGCCTACACCGCGGAAGATATTGTGAAGATTGTACAAGGCCGATTGGCGCCTCTGGAAGCACTCGGCAACCCAACTCCATCCGCGTCTGCTCCGACCACCTCTTCGCTAACGGGAGCGTCTCTTGTTATTGCGCCCACTGCGCTAACGTTCCTATCGAAAAAGGTCGCCGCACAAACTGGTGATCTTCGGGCAGCCTTTGATGCAGTTCGTCGAACGATCGAACTTGTTGAGCGTGAAGTCAACCCATTCGCTCCTCCTGCCATGCCTTTGCATACTCTGGGTGGCGGTCCATCAAAACCTATGAATAACGCCGGTGTTGCGACCATGAAGCACGTCCTCGATTCACTTCGAGGTCGCGACGGACTGGCAGGGGGGCAAGCGGTTGGCACCGCACGTGGGCTAGGCATGCAAGCCCGCCTCGTCCTTGTCTCCATTCTTGTCGCTCGTCGTCGCGCTGCTGCCGGACTAGTCCTACTCCCGGTAAAATCGGTGAACAGCCTTACTCGTACTCCTAGCAAGGCGGCTCCGCGGACGCCGAGCAAGACTGGGCGGGGTGCTCAACCAGGATCGCCAAGCAAACGCGGCCGAGCCGGTGATGCTGAGATGTACGAGGCATCTGCGCTGCACGCTGCATATTCTGCTATCCTCACCTCTGATGGCGCATTCGCCCCTGTGTCGAGGAGCGAGTTCCAAGACCTGCTGGGCGTTCTAGAGACAGGCGGGTTGATTACTGTCGTTGGGGCAACAGGCAACGCCACACCAAGCCGACGAAAGGCTGCCGGTCTGGGAGGAGAACCGCTAGTGGGGCTGGCCGAAGGTGTACGCGAGGAGGACGTTCTTCGTGGACTCGGTAGCGCGGGGGCTGGAGGTACCGCTGGTGTCAAGGAGGAGGAAGCCATGGCTCTTTGGGAGCGAGAGCTGAAACGATCTCTTCGCGACGTGGAGCGTGTCAAACGCGCTGCTGAACGTGAACGAGAGGCTATGACAGTCGACGGGTTTGCCGACGCCTGCGCCAATGATTGAAACTTATCTTGGATTTTCTTTTTGTCGCTTTGTGCATATCATACCACAGTTACTCGTCGCATGTATTCTTTGTTAATCTTATCATTCAACAAGCTTTTCACTGAAGTATTTGTTCTTTGCGACTTGAATGCACTGGGCGGTGCCCAGCAAGCGGTGGTATTGGACAGTTTTTCGTGTAAAACAAGTCTGGGCTGATACATAGTCAAAACCTAGTGCCGTACCTGTCGGGGAAGCGGGACAGGCCTCAGCTGCGAAGCTTCTTCAGACCACGCAAATCCTCCAAGTAATCTGATTTTCCGCACATGGTTAATTATCACAATTGTGCAGACTTTGCTGAATCATAAGAAATTTCTGTCAAACACGACAGAAATCGTCTCGGGAAGCGGCTCTATCATCCTACAGCAATGATAAAGTAACATGGGACCAAAGAAAGTTTATACATCAACTAGGTAAGGTGTGCTCAAGCTGCACATACAAAAAAAAAATCACGGCGCAAACGGGGTGCATATAGTAGGTATTGTTTCAAACCCCGTTGGGGAGTTTATCCTCCTCCACAACAGGGCTTTTGTTGTTCCACCAGGAATATTTGGATAGCTCAAGGCGATATTATTAGGGTTTACTTCATTCTGAGGTAGACAAGCCAAGCGGCATGTATGTTACAAAACGTAGGTGTTTTGCCCGTATCCACATGTCGTTATAATGGCAACTATTACCATTTGAACAAGTCCCGCTTAGCTCAGTGGTAGAGCGCATCACTAGTATTACTCAAGCAGCTGCTTAAGTAAATCAATGATGAGGTCAATAGTTCAAGTCTGTTAGTGGGAATACTTTTTTGCAAGACCTGAAAGTTTGCTGCAAGTCGCAGGAGCTTGCAGTCTTTGTTGCGGGATTTTCCTGAATTTCCCTGCTTGTGAACTGTCTGTTTTGGCTGGGCGCCTAGGTCCGGTCTTTGTAATCAAAGCACAGCCTCGGCGCTTCCTTAACCGTCGTTCCTTCCCTTCCCACCACAGCAATGTCCAACTACCCCCAAGCTCCTCCTAGTTACCAGCCCGCTCCCCAGAGCCCCCAGAAGTACTCGCAATACGGGGCCTCTCAGTCCTCTGAACCCCTGCTTGGTGGGACCCGCGGCCAGTCGTCTGGTGGCGTCCAGGCGTTTGGTGACGACAGTGATCTTCCCGATGACTTCAAGTGCGTACGATCTCGAGTCTGAATGTGCTCGCTGCTTATTGCGTCGCTAGATACGGAGTGACTGTTTCCGACTCGGCGCCCGAGATCCAGCAGGCGTTTGTTCGCAAGGTATGTGGCTGATCGTGGCTATCGGCCGTCTACTGATTCCGTCCTCAGGTTTATTCCATCTTGTTTGCCCAAATCGTGAGTCGCTAGCCTCTTCTCTAGATGCTGTCTGACCCGCCTTTAGCTCGGTACCTGCATAGTTGCAGGACTTGCCTCTGGTGAAAAGTCTGTGGCATGGGTTCAAGCACAGTAAGTTGGTTCAAATATCAACATGATCTCTCTAACACACCGTAGTCAATGGGCCGTATTCATCCCTCTTGTTGGTTCTCTCGTCACCCTTGGACTCCTCTACTGGAAGCGCCACTCGCACCCCACCAACTACATCATGCTCGCGGCCTTTACCATCTTCGAGTCCCTCAGCGTCGGTTTGATCGTGTCGTACTATGACAGCGTCATCGTGCTTCAGGCTATGTAAGCCCACGTCATCTTGCATAGCTTCTTACTGACCCTTCTCGCAGGTTGATCACACTTGGTGTTTTCCTCGGGCTCACGCTCTTTACTTTGCAGAGCAAGTATGACTTTTCCGGAATGGGTCCGTTCTTGTTTGGCGGTCTGCTTGTGCTCAGTACGTTCATCCGCTACTATTCACAGGCTGCCTCTAACCTCGCACAGTGATGACCGGTATCGTTGGCATATTTGTGCCCTTTGGCAAGACTATGGATCTCATCTATGCCTGCGGCGGATGCCTCCTCTTCAGCGGCTACATTGTTTTCGACGTAAGTTGTACGACTTGACTTTTAGCGCAGGCCTGACCTCCCACTAGACCTACATCATCACCAAGAAACTCAGCCCAGACGAGTTTATCATGGGCGCCGTCTCGCTGTACCTCGACTTTATCAACTTGTTCATCAGCATCCTCCGTTTGCTCAACAACGTCGAGGAGCGGTGATTTATCAAGTCGGTCCCAAGCGAGGTGGCGTGTCCTTGAGCCCTTGTACTACTTACGATTTGATCAATGCAACAATATTGAGCTTTCCCACGACTAGTATGAAAAATGACGGTTTGGATTTCTGCTAACATCAAACGAATGCGCGACAAATGAATACACGAAAACTAGCGACGAACGACCGAGGTCGAGACCGATGGAACCCCCTTGCGCATCTCGACAGTGGTCTCGTCTTTGCAGTCCTCTGGGTTCTCACTGCTAGGTTCTTGGCTGACCGCGACGAGTTCGGGTGTAGTGCCTTCGCCGCTGGGCATCCTGTAAATCCAAACTTAGGAGCGTACCACGAGCGCAAACAAAAGTACGAACTTGTAAGACTTTCCGGCATCATCCTGGCGGTCCAGCTTGGCTTCGGCGTGGAAACCCATGTTGGTGTCGGGCATATTGTCTGCCATCTGCTGCGCCTTGCTCTTCATCTCACCGCTGAACCTGTGGACACGCAAAGCGATTAGACATGGCAATCAGCAATAAAGACCTGCCACTCACTCGCTCGTCGACAAGAATGCGGCCTTGGCACCATCACCAGCCTGGTCCGACTCGCTCTTAGCCTTGGCCATAACGTTGCTCGCCTTGTCATCAGCGACCCTGATGACAAGTATAAGTACAGAGCCAAGCCTATCGTCACAGCGTACTTACTTGTTGTCCTCCTCGAGTTTGTCTCGCACATCTTCGACGATATCACTAACGCGGGTTTCAGCCAGAGATACAAGCGCTAGTTGAAGTAAACTTACTTGGAGTTGTCGCACGGCGGCTGTTCAGCAGGAGGGTCGGCCTTGCCATCCTGGCCATTGTCGGTCCTGCCATCGTCGGTCTTGCCATCATCGTTAGTGCCGCCGCTGGTGCTATTGTTGGCATCGTTGTTGCTGGTGTTGGCGTCGTCGTCGTTGGTGTGCTTCTCAGGTCGGGTAGACGCTTCGTTATTGTCTTCGCTGTCATCAACGTCGACATCAATGTCGATGGACCCAGTGCCAGACGGAACACCCGGAACCTGGACGTTGGCGGAAATATCCTTGGGGTCTTCGTCAACATCAATGTCGATGGTCCCAGAGCCAGATGGGACGCCCGGGACTTGGACGTCAGCGGAAAAGAGCTTGGCCCTCATGTCATTCAGATCCCCCCTATAAAATAAAAGGGAATCAGCGTTGACCGGCAAACACGACAGTCGAGACTTACTCCATGCTAGTCGCAGGCCCAGTGGCGTCTACCGAGACCTTCTTGACCTCGCTCTCGCGACAGTCCCCACACTTGACGTTGGGAACGTCGACAGTGTAGTCCAAGTCCTGTTTAGTACACAAATAGCATCAGCGGTATGTTCAGCAATCCAAGACCAGAATGTATGCGCGCTTACTTGAAAGTTCGAAGGGATAGGGGGGATGTTGCGGCTGCGAAGCTGCCCACGCGCACGAGAGATAGAACGAGCAGACGACCCACTCGGGGTACCCATAGGGGCCCCGTTGCTGCTGGCGACAGCCATGAGCGTGACAAACGCGGCGAGCGAAGCAGTGGTGCGCATCGTTGACGTTGAAACAAAAAAGTTAGAATGTAAAAGAGGGAGCGACGGGGTGAGTGTGGAACGTGAGAGGTCGTGGTCGTGAAAACTGTCGGGGGAGCGACAGTAGGTGGTCGTGAGATGGAGGAGAGGAGAGCCTCCCGAGGGATTTTATACCTCGCAGGGAGGCGACTTTAGGGGAGACTTTAGGGGGCGGCCAGGCTCGACCCCCGACGCGACTTAGGGGCAGGCTTGGAGCCGCGTCGGATGCAGGTATTTTAAGCAACAAACATTCACACCCCTTTACTCCTATTGGCGATTCTGGACTTCTTCGCCCCTATGTCTTCGACTCGTATAATTCGTCGTTTGTTTTCTGTTTCAACTTGCCTTTTCCCTTTCGTCCCCCCACTACACGCACAAGTCCAACCCGATACGCTCCCCGCTCCTTTCCTCAGCTATGCGTAACTTTGGTATCGTTGGTGTCGCTGCCGCTGCCGGATTACTCTCACATGGGGCGTTGGCCATCCCCGTTCCTCCAGTAAGTTCTGTATCGTTTGGCTGTTGTGCGGTACTGAACGCGTGACTCTAGCGGGTCGTATACCCATACCCCATATATCGATCCAACGAAGTCGTATCCTTCGCCTCGGAGATGTTCCGCGAGCCAGTACCGGGGTCCAAGGCGGGCGTGGAGATGTCTTCCGCCGCTTTCTCCAAGGCGATTGACGTTGGCTTCATGACTGTCGTAATTAGGCCTTACGAGCATCTTGTTTCCTTCTTGAGGTATCACAACCCCGAGAATCGAATTGTGCTCGACCGTATTGTGAGTACGCATCGATAGTCGGTGCCCTCTTAGACTGATTACGACCATATGGGGCTTCAGACAAACAACTTCAAGCGCAGCCCCAACCTGTCGATCAATCCTCCTCCTAGATCTCCGCCTTCCAAATCGAATATGGCGCCCCGTGACGAAGCCAGTGGCCCGGGAGCGCAAACCCAGAAACCCGAGGACGGTGACAAGGTACGCTCGGCTTTATTCATACAAGTTCATTTTTACTCACCTCTCTTCAGACAGGACAGACTGGAGAGCAGCCAGGAGAGACGACCGGCGAGCAAGCAGGAGAACCGGGAGGGAAATCAGGAGCAGACCCAGGAACAGGCCCGGGAGAGGGAAAGAAAGGCTACCCCAACCACGACTACCGAAGCCTGGTAAGATTGCTCTTGGCCATGTCTGTGCTGATACTCACCTTGAGCTTTATAGCACGATCGTCTCCGGTCGGATAATTTCTCTCCCGGGTACGTGGGTGGTAGTATGGCGCGCTCGTCGACTCACTCGACTTCGGGCGAGCACATAAAGGCGAGGGAAGTTGATGATCACCCTCCGCGCCAGCCCCCCGTTCATAACCCAGAGTAGGCCCGTCGCATTTTCTACCAGTTTACGCACACATCATTTGGACCATTGTTGAACGTCATTTATTAATACACTTGTAATTGTATCCAACGTTGACTGGGCAAGCCTTGTGAAACTCAAAGTCAATCTCCACCTCTTGAGGAGATGACGTCGGACTCACTTGACCTAGCCCTTGGATCTAAGCTACCTCTAATTGCAGAGGTCGCTCTAACTTCCAAATCCCTATCTAAAAGGCTTCTACGGAAAGACGTACGAGATCTACAGAAGACATTGTGATCAACACCACTGGTGCCGAGGTAGAATTTGCTCAGAGTCCAAGCAGAACGCTATGTTTCAGGCTTCTGCTCCTATCCAAGTAGCCCATACGCACGCATTTACTACTTGGTAACTAGCATGTCATCTATTATCTTGTGTTGAACTATCACAAAGTTGATCCAGCCCGACGTTGAGTGTTGGATCGGGGTGCGATGGGTATTCGAGGGTGCCCGGCCGATGCTTCTCAAAGTGACGCTGTGTCAATCATTAAATCGATCTAATTGAAGAGTTCTAACAAAAAAGGTAAAATGAAAGCTCGAATTACAGGTGTTGTTTGTCTAATATTTACTCATATGTATATCGGGATCGAGTCGGGTGGCCGAGACTATTGACCCCACGGTCATCGTTACACGCGGCAGCGGCGGCGCTGGTACACG